CTACGACTACTACTACCACCACCACCACCAAACACCCCCCCAAAAAATCCGTGATTTTAGTCCGCAAGCGAACTATAATGACCGAGCGACCGCTCCTTGTCGGCGAATTTTAGTGCCAACCCTAGCGGATATATGGTGTCGCGTGGTCAGCGCAACGAATCCCCATGGCCGTTAATTTCGGTTTTCTAGACCGGAGCCGCTATTTCCTTGAAATAGCTCCTCAGATATCCTCACCAGGCTCAGCGGACCCCGTCCACATCCACTACTTCTCAGAAAAATCTGATAGAGCCGGGAATCGAACCAGGAACTCTCACCACTAGACCACAGAAGACAGTTACTATTATTATGTTTGTTTACTGCTCTGCATTAATGTTTTTTTTTCCTCCAGTGCTTGCCTGTAATTTGTCTTTAATTCTATGTTGTGTTTGTCCATAATGCAGTTACCTATATCTACACTATGCTGTGTCTTTAATAGGCCTTGTAGCTGTTGATTCGGCACATAAACAATAAAGGATGAATTATTATTATTATTATTATTATTATATGTGGTGGTAGTTTATTTGGTATAAATTCAGAGTTCATCACAGCAGTCGCGTTCATCTTTAACTTAACAATATTTCATTCGTAATGAGGAGGCATGTCCGTGATCCGTTACCATGAAACGAACCCTTGTTTCTTTTCATCATAAATTGGATAGCGCTAATGTCGCTCTCACCTCGCAAGTTGGCACGTATTGTTATCATTGACTATAGGAGGGTAAGAAGTTGAAAAATTTCCCGAAGTTCCTCGAAAATCTGTGGTCAGACTTTGAAAAGGGGACACAGGAAATATGGGGTTTGGATGTGTGCCAGTGGTATAATATTCATACCGAATTTCAAGAGTTAAGTGGGGGACTCAAAGGAGACATGATGTTGATCTTATAAGCTTTATTTTTTGGCTGGTTCATAACGAAAAGTTGAAAAAATAAAATGAGTGTAAAGACATTGCACGTACTTTCTCATACGCTGACAGTGATACTGCACTATTTCCAAGAAGATCCACCCGTATGCGTAGCTCGCCGAATTTTATTGCAGAGATTACGTTTCTCACAGAAGTACAGACAAGTGAAACATGTATTTCATTCCTACTGCACTTCTACGTAAATCTCAGCTTTTTTCGAGATAATTAAACAAAAGAAGTGAACGCAACTAACTTGTTACGCTAAGCGTACACTTCGTAACACGCTCTTCTTCCGAAAGGAAGGTAAGCTAAAAATAGATTACGAATGTAAGGTTTGTGGCGAAGTAGTTTTGGTTGAACTGGTTAGGATCGCTGCAACGGCATGATCACCATTTCTTGTTCCCTGAGTTTTGACGTCGGAGTTCTATTAACAGAGGCTGTACTAGTTGATGTCATCGTCGTCTGCCCACGCAGGCTGTTTATGACGGCCCATCTGATTTTGTATCGATGCGCTGAAATCGCATCACCGGATGCGTATAGTCGTGTTGCAACTGTTACGGTGCCCGTTTTATATGACAACGGTTTATTGCTGTGTCTTCACTACTAATAAGGCTGTTGAATATGCCCTTTGTCTCCTCCCCCGCTAAACAGACTGGTCATTGCTTGCGCTTAGACTTGCTGCGTGATTGTGAGTTCAGGTTTGCTTTCGTCACATTTGATGCAGATTAACATAAACGTCATTAATTTCTTCCAAAGCACATACAGTCTCAAGACATGACCATTGAACGCGACTATTTAAATAGGACCGCTTATACCATTTACATAATCACTGCAATTCCACATGTAGCCCGGAGGTTAGAATTGGTGGAGATTTAAACTCCTTGTAACCCGTATAAGATCTCATGACACACGCAAGCGCTACACGTACTGC